TGTCTGTATCTATACATATTATATATATATATATATAATATATATAATTTATATATATATATATATATATATATATTATATATATAGATATTAGATAAAATATATATATAGATATATGTGTCTGCACGTGTTGCAGTGTGTGGCTGCGCGGCATGTTTAATGTTCTCACTAAGTGTAAAGGTTATTCAATTGCATCCTGGCATCATAAGCACTTAACACCTGCATGCAATTTCTGCTTTTGCCTCCATTAAAATTAGACCTATCAGTTTCTTGTTTTGATCAACAATTATGAGCTCTTAAAGTTTATAAATAGCTAAAAGTTGTTTTTTATTTATATTTAATGTGAAATGAGCCAACAGATGTAAATGATAGAAATATATGTGGATTCCATTCGTTCAAAATGGCCTTCCTAGTTAATGGCTTATCAAATAAAACTTTAGGATCTGAGAAAAAATTTTATATATCCATTTCTGAGAAAAGCAGAGAACATGACACCTGGACCTGTATAACTTAAAAAAGTCAACCAAACAATTTTTATTTGAAATGTCAACCAGAACTGGCAATGTGATAGATTTTTTCTCAAAGATTAATGCTCATATATTCATGTAGTTTCATTGACTATAAAATAATCATCAAATTCATCAACAATGGATTGTAAATCTGTGTAAAATTGATGAATTTGCATCCCTGGTAAACCCCTTTTTTTACTTACCTAGAATGATACATTTCAGAAATTTTTCTGTTTAAGGCTAGATAAGATCAGTTCTTTTTTTAGAAGGACCTTTCAGAAAGAATTATAATATTAATTACATGATTTTTTTTTCTGCCATGGGCATTATTTTACTGTGTTCTTGGAGATAAGACGTAGAATATTTTATTGTGTTAGAGTTGAATATTTAAGTTACGTTATTATATTTTCAAATTAAGTTACAAATAAAAGCATTATTCATTAATTAAATATTATCAATCTAAGTTCAGTATAATTCAGCATCCATCATGATGAACATTGTTTTGATATACTGGGAAAATCACAGAACACTAAAGGTAAAATCGTGCATTGAATTAGGTGGTTCACAATTGGATGGGAAGAGGATGCGTATTGTAGCAAAAACTAGCTTTCTTTACCATTGCTATGATATGAGATGTATAGGAAAACCAACAGACTGTTGTCATAAAATTCCTGCACTTGAACACAATCATTCACAAAAACCTGCCCCACTCAGTTGATTATTTCATAATTAATGGACTGCTCTATAATTAGTTCTATAATTGAAAGTGAACAATAACGCAAATCCCATAGCTTCTTATTTGCCCTGTTCCTTTGTTTATGTATATGGCGCTATCATTTGGCAATTATATGTGTTCATTTTTTACTGTAGTGCTACATTGAAGTTAAGCTTGAATTTTTGTACAGGAGAAAGAAAATGTATTCTGATAAATAGAAACTTTCACAAGGAAGAAATAAAGATTTAAAAATGCAAATACAAGAACTCAAAGTCCCGAAAATAATGTTAATAATGATCAAGATAGCTTCCATTTAGAAAAACTCTTTAAAGAAGTGGTCGAGTTTGAATCCTAATCGTTCAAGCCAAATTACAACCTCTGTAACAAATGAAATTTCAATATTCTAATGAACTGCATACATGGAGAAACAAATGGAGGTAATAAAAAAAATCTTTTTTTTCTTTGCAATAGTCATGTACAATACAATAAAATGGAGCTGTAGGAGCAATATAAAATGTGTAGTTTTTTTATTTGAGAGGGGGATTATTGTTGTTTGTTGGTTAATGCAGATATTGGAGTTGGTTTAGTATCATATAAATTCAATTTGAATGAACAGGTAAACTCTTAGCATTGTCCTCGTTGCCATGTTTTTGTGTACAAGAACATTCAATATTCTTGAATTTTGTCCCAGCCATGTTAAATTACTCATATTCCATGTTTAATGAACCCAGCTTGCCATGTTTCAAGTTTGTTGAGAAAACCATTCTGCAATTTACGTGTTCCCAAAGTAAAAGCCATTAAAACATTTTCAATATGCTTATTTCCAGTGTGTCTAAAGAAACCAAAGAGTATAGGAAGGGTTACTGTCGAGAGATTCATTGTATTTCCAATTAGTTTGATTATGTAGCCAGAGATACACGGTTGTTCTGTTGCCTCCCACCATATTCATTTTTTGTATTAATAATACTTTTACTATGTGTTACTATATGTGTGTGTGTGTGTGTGTGTGTGTGGTGTGTGGTTGTGTGTGTATGTGTGTGGTGTGGTGTGTGTTGTAGTGTGTGGTGTCGTGCGAGTGTGTGTGTGTCTTATATACTGTAATTTTACTTGAATATCAGGTCACGTTTTTTTCCTAAGGACCTCGTGTGAAAAAAAAGGGGTCATTTTTGAATTGTCAGGAGAGTTACTGATAATTTTTCAATGGGTGAAGAGAAGCCCAAATTGATGAGCATTGTATCAAGGAAATTCAAGGTGAAAATGAATAATAAATCGATGGCTTGAGATTTGGATTACATTATTCGATAAGACACTTGGACTCTGCAGTCTCACCTGGCGAGTGAAGAATTATGGGTTTATAAAGAAATCAAAATAAAATTAACATGCAATTGGTATGTTGAGTTCGCAAATCCAAATCCAAATGCAGAAAGGGATGATAATAATAAATATTTTTGTAGCAAACAACTTCCCAAATTTGGAAATTTGCTAGTTTATCCCATAGTACCATTGGAAAAAAAACAGAGAATGGAATGTAAAATCAATTTGCAATTCAAATGAAAGAACATAAAATGATATGAATTTAAAAGGTATACTCTGGTAAAGAATTGCTGAATGAACGTTAAAGAATGGGAGGCCAATGGAAACAAGAGTAAGAAACAGGATGAGACATCTGACTGACACTGAAGGGAATGTTTGTATGTGGTGTCAGAATGAAAGACCAACAAACGTTCCAATTCAACCTTGCAGAACTTTCGAGAAGGGCCTAAAAAATGCGGATCAAACAAGAATGAAACAATAATGCATGGGAAGATGAAGGATAATGACCAAAACCATTAATTAGGCTTTAAGGAAAAATTAAATTAGCTGGAATAATCTCAAGCTAAAAGTTTTTAACATTCTCATCCAAGAAGACCAATTTCTAAATCGAGTTAAGATAATTTGCTATTTTTATTTCGGACTAATAGTAAGAAAAGTTTGGAGGTCTCTTCCAAATTTGTGGCGTCAACTTATTTTGGGTAAATACAGCTATTTACGATTAAAATTTAATTTTTTTATTGGAAACTTTTTTAATTAAATTAGTTTTTTATTTCATTTAAAATTGTGTTTGTTTTAAATTGCTGTTTTTAAATTTTAAGTTTCCTTATTTCCCTTCTTAAAATCTTGTTTCTGGGAGAAAAAGTGTTGAAAAAAAAAATGGGCAATAATTTGAATATTTCTCCAATACCCCCACATTTTTTCTTCCTTTAAAGAAAAAACCATGTCAAAAAAATTTTTCAAATCTCTTGAAAAAAAACGGTTACTAGGAGAGAAATGACACTGCATGATAGAGTTGGGCGGCCCTTTTTTTCCCCCTTTCTCCCTGTAATAGTTGACATTGCTTAAAAATTTTAGTTTGTTTTCTCTCAAAATAATTTTAATTAAATTAATTTTCAGTCAAGATATTGATTTAGTAAATATGTGATGAATTTAAAAAAATTGTTATCTTTTATTTCATCCTCTCTTTCCAATTGCATCCTGGCATCATAAGCACTTAACACCTGCATGCAATTTCTGCTTTTGCCTCCATTAAAATTAGACCTATCAGTTTCTTTGTTTTATCAACAATTATGAGCTCTTAAAGTTTATAAATAGCTAAAAGTTGTTTTTTATTTATAATTTAATGTGAAATGAGCCAACAGATGTAATGATAGAAATATATGTGGATTCCATTCGGTTCAAAATGGCCTTCCTAGTAATGGCTTATCAAATAAAACCTTTAGGATCTGAGAAAAATTTTTATATATCCATTTCTGAGAAAAGCAGAGAACATGACACCTGGACCTGTATAACTTAAAAAGTCAACCAAACAATTTTATTTGAAATGTCAACAGAACTGGCAATGTGATAGATTTTTCTCAAAGATTAATGCTCATATATTCATGGTAGTTTCATTGACTATAAAGTAATCATCAAATTCATCAACAATGGATTGTAAATCTGTGTAAAATTGATGAATTTGCATCCCTGGTAAACCCCTTTTTTTTACTTACCTTAGAATTATAACATTTCAGAAATTTTTCTGTTTAAGGCTAGATAAGATCAGTTCTTTTTTTAGAAGGACCTTTCAGAAAGAATTATAATATTTAATTACATGATTTTTTTCTGCCATGGGCATTATTTTACTGTGTTCTTGGAGATAAGACGTAGAATTATTTTATTGTGTTGGAGTTGAATATTTAAGTTACGTTATTATATTTTCAAATTAAGATACAAATAAAAGCATTATTCATTAATTAAATATTATCAATCTTAAGTTCAGTATAATTCAGCATCATCATGATGAACATTGTTTTGAGTTAGTAAGGATATTCTGTAAAATCCACAGAACACTAAAGGTAAAATCTGCAATAGGGAATTAGGTGGGGAGAGGGATGGTATTGTAGCAAACTATGCTTTCTACCATGCTATGATATGAGATATAGGGAAACCAACAGACTGTTGCTCATAATTCCTGCACTTGAACACATCATTCACAAAACCTGCACACTCAGTTGATTAATTTCATAATTAATGGACTGCTCTTAATTAGTTCTATAATTGAAAGTGACAATAACGCAAATCCCATAGCTTCTTATTTGCTGTTCCTTTGTTTATGTATATGGCGCTATCATTTGGCAATATATTGTGTTCATTTTATTTACTTGTAGTGTACATGAAGTTAAGACTTTTGAATTTTTGTTACAGGAGAAAGAAATGTATTCTGATAAGATAGAAACTTTTCACAAGGAGAATAAAGATTTAAAAATGCAAATACAAGAACTCAAAGTCCAAAATAATGTTAATAATGATCAGATAGCTTCATTTAAAGAAAAACTCTTTAAAGAAGTGGTCAGTTTGAATCCTAATCGTTCAAGCCAAATTACAACCTCTAGTGAACCAAATGAAATTTTCAATATTCTAATGAACTGCATAATGGAGAAACAAATGGAGGTAATAAAAAAGAAATCTTTTTGCAATATCATGTACAATACAATAAAATGGAGCTGTAGGAGCATATTGAAAATGTGTATAGTTTTTTTATTTGAGAGGGGATTTTGTTGTTTGTTGTAATGCAGATATTGGTAGTTGGTTAGTATTCATATAAATTCAATTTGAATGAACAGTAAACTCTTAGCATGTTCCTCGTTGCCATGTTTTTGTGTACAGAACATCAGTATTCTTGAATTTTGGTCCCAGCCTGTTAAATTACTCATGTCCATGTTTAATGAACCCACTTGCCATGTTTCAAGTTTGTTGAGAAACCATTCTGCAATTTACGTGTTTCCCAGTAAAGCATAAAACATTTTCAATATGTTATTTCCAGTGTTCTTAAGAGAACCAAAGAGTATAGAAGGGTACTGTCTGAGAAGATTCATTGTATTTTCAATTAGTTTGATTATGTAGCCAGAGATACACGTTGTTCTGTGCCTCCACCATATTCATTTTTTGTGTTATATACTTTTACTATGTGTGTGTGTGGGGTGTGTGTGAGTGTGGGTGTGGTGTGTGTCTATATTACTGTATTTACTTGAATATGTCACAGTTTTTTCCTAAGGACCTCATGTGAAAAAAAAGGGGTCATTTTGAAATTGTCAGGAGAGTTACTGATATTTTTCAATGGGTGAGAGAAGCTCAAATGATGAGCATTGTATCAAGGGAAATTCAAGGTGAAAATGAATATAAATCATGGCTGAGATTTGGTTACATTATCGATAAGGACACTTGGACTCTCAGTTCCTCACCTGGCGAGTGAGAATATGGGTTTTATAAGAAATCAAAATAAATAACATGCAATTGGTTGTGAGTTCGCAATCCAAATCCAAATGCAGAAAGGGATCATAATAAAAATATTTTTGTAGCAACAACTTCCCAATTTTGGAAATTTGCTAGTTTATCCCATATTACCCATGAAACAGAGGAATGGAGATGTATCAGTTTGCAATTCAATGAAAGTAACATTAAATGATATGAATTTAAAGTATACTCTGGTAAAGAATGTGAATGAACCGTTAAAGAATGGGAGGCCATGAACAAGAGAGGAACAGGATGAGACATCTGATGACACTGAAGGGAATGTTTGTATGTGGTGTCAGAAGAAAGACCAACAACGTCAATTCAACATGCAGAACTTTCAGAAGGGCCTAAAATGCCAGGATCAAAAAGAATGAAACAATAATGCATGGGAAGATGTAAGGATAATGACAAAACCCATAATTAGGCTTTAAGGAAAAATTAAATAGTGATATCTCAAGCAAAAGTTTTAACATTCTCATCCAGAAGACAATTTTCTAATCGAGTAGATAATTTGCTATTTTATTTCGACTAAATAGTAAGAAAGTTGGAGGTCTCTTCAAATTTGTGGGTCAACTTATATTTGGGTAAATACAGTATTTACATTAAATTAATTTTTTTATTGAAACTTTTAATTAAATTAGTTTTATTCATTTATATTTGTGTGTTAATTGCATGTTAATTAGTTTCTATTTCCTCTTATCTTGTTCTGAAGAAAGTGTGAAAATGGCATATTGAATATTTTTCAATACCACATTTTTCTTACTTAAGACATTCAAAATTTTCAATCTCTTGAAGAACGTACTAGAGAGATGACACTGATGATAGAGTTGGGGGGCCTTTTTTCCCCCCTCTCCCTGTTATAGTTTGACATTTGCTTAAAATTTTAGTTTGTTTTCTTCAAAATAATTGTAATTAAATTAATTTTCAGTCAAGATATGTGATTTAGTAAATAATGTGATGAATTTAAAAAAAATGTTATCTTTTAATTTCCAGATTGTCAGTCAGTTGCAGTATCAAAATACGCAAACTCTTCATAAAAATCCAGAACACTTGGATAGCAATATTTTAGAAGAGGAGAATTGCCAGCTTCGTGCAGCTTTAGAGAAACTTAAACAGGAGCAGGTGGAATGTAATGAAAAATGTGTAAGTTTTCAAAAATCTATGGCTGAATTAGAATTGCAAGTGGAACAACTCAAGATACACAATGATGAACTGAAAGCTCAATTTGATTCTGTTTATCAAGAAAAATATAGTATTCTGGAAAGTTATGCAAACATCAAAGTTGAGTTAGCAGGAAAAAATCATGCTTTATCAAAGGAAGACAAGAAAACTACTCTGGAAAATGGTATTGATATTGAGAATGAACCAAAAGAAAAAGAACTGCTTTTAGAGGAAGGATGCTCTAACAAATGTACAGATATGAAATCGGTCTCTAATGATCATGTTCAAACAGACCCTGAATTAATGGATCCTATCCTAACCAACTTAGAAAGGTATGGCCAAGTAAAATCCCAAAATTCTTCTCAGGAGGAGATACAGATGAAATATTTCCAGGAAAAGTGTAGAGAACAAGAAGAGACATTATTTGTTTTTAAAGAAAAACTAAAGATAGTGGAAAATCAATTAAATGAAGTAAACTTACAGAATGGTGAATTGAAGCAACAGATCAATAATGGGGCAAAGGAGAAGGATGAAAATGTAGTGAATTTGGAGAGAACATTAAGCGATAAATGTGCTTTGGAAGAAAAACTTGGAGAACAGGCCAAAATTATAAATGATATCATGGAGGCCAACAATATCCTTGAATTGCATATTAATGCTAATGGAAAAGATTCAGAATTGGAACATATGCAGAAAGTATGTGGGGAACTGGGACAACAAATATTTGCTTTTAAAGAAAAAGTAAAGGTTTTGGAAGATAAAATAGAACAAATGTCTTCACATAATAGAGAATTGGTGCAACAGATTGCTAGTGTGGAAAAGGAAAAGTTTGAGTTTAAAATGAAAATGGAGAGGACAATAGAAGAAAAATATGCTTTGGAAAAAAAACTTGAACAGGCTGAAGTTACAAATAACATCAAGGAAGCAAATGGTGCTCTTGAACACAATGTTCAGACAAATAAAAAAGAATCAGAACATACCCAGAAAATATGTGGGGACCAAGGAGAGTTAATAACTGCTTTTACAGAAAAAGTAAAGATTTTGGAGAGAACTAAGGAGGAAAAATATGCTTTGGAAGAAAAACTTGAAGAACAGACAGGAATTATTAAAGAAATTGAGGAAGCCAAAAGAGCTCTTGAACAAAATTTTCATGTAGTTGAGACTGAACTGAAAGAAAAGAATAAATTACTTTTAGATATGGAGACACGCATGTGCAGTACTCTTAGTAGAAATGCATATTGTGATGAGTATGTCCAAACAGATGTTGAAGAAATAGAACATGAAAATGTGATGGAAAAGGTCCTGTTGTCAGGATGTCAAAATAAAAGTGAAAAAGAATATGAAATGGAGCCTATTAACAAACAAGATGATCAAGAAGGAAAGTTGTCCACTTTAATGGAAAAGGTTAATATTTTGGAAAGACAAATACTACAAGATTCTTTACAGATAGAGGAATTGCATCAGCAGATTGAGAAATTGGAAAAGGAAAGAGCAGAAAACTGTCTTGCTCTTGAGAATGTGTTAGCAGATAAATGTGCATTTCAAACGCAAGTTCAGGAACAGTGTGAGATCATACAAGAAATTGAGAAATCAAAACTTGCTCTTGAAATGTGTGTTAGTAACATTGAGTCTGAGAAGAAGCAATTGCTTTTAGAGATTCTGCAACTCAGAAATTCAAATTCAGATGAGTGTGTACAAATGAATTTGTTAGTAACAAGTCCCCACAATGATAACATAAGAGAGTCCTTAGTACTAGATACTCATAATACAAATAAGACAGAATTACTGCTAGAAAATTGTCAAGACAAATGTGGAAAGGAAGAGAAATTGTTTGCTTTTACAGAGCAAGTAAGGATTTTGGAAGAAAAATCTAGGCAATCCTCTGAGCTAATAGAGAAATTGCAATCCCAAATTGAAATGACAGAAAATGAAAGGGTTAAGAATTCCATGAACCTTGAGAAAGTTTTATTGGATAAATGCTCATTGGAAGAAAGAATAGAAGAACAGGGTCTAATAATTAAAGAAAAAGAAAAAAATAATTTTATTCTCCAGAATCATATAGGGGACTTGGAAACAGAGTTGAAAGAAAAGAAAGAGCTTTTATTAGTGTTTCAAGAAGAGAAATATGACTTGGAAAACCAGTTATGCTCCATAAAAGATAAGATTTCTTCAAGTTGTGTAGTTTCGGAACGAGCCAAGGAACTGGAAACTAAACTGAATGAGGAATCTGAGTGTAAGAGAGAAAAAGAACTGGAATTGGCTCATTTACAAGAGAAACTGATTGATCAGGGTAAACAATTGTCTAATTTTGCTGCAAATGAAAAAGTTTTGGAAGATCAGTTACAAGTAGTTGTGTCACAGAAAGAGGAAATGCAGCACAAAATTGAGTTATTAGAAAAAAATATTTTACAGTGCAATTTGAATTTCCAGAATATTCTAGAAGATAAAATTGCATTGGTTGAAAAAGTAGAAGAATTGAAGAAGATAATAAAGGATACCGAGGAATCCAAAAGCACCATGATGATATGCATAAATAACTTGGAAAGTGAACTGATGGAAAAAAAGAATCTTCTTTTAGAGCTACAAGAACACAAAAATGAAATAGAAAAACATCGTGAAAATTTAGAGGAAACTGTAAAGATGAAAATTGAAACTCTTGAATCCATTAAAACAGAACTGGAAAATAATTTGAAGATGGAATTGGAATATAGAATAAGACAAGATAAATGCATATCTCAATATGAGAATGAATTAATTGAACTGAAACATAAGTTATCTGCCTCTGACGAAAATTTGAAGGTTTTGGAAGATGAGTTGCAGAAAGAAGTTTTAATTAATAAGGATATGAAATCCCAAATTAATGAATTAGAAAAGTGCAAGGTGGAATGTGAAATTAAATTAAAGAGGACAGTAGAAGAGAAGCAGATTTTAGAAAAAAGAATCGGTGAACAAATAAGTGATTTCGAGGAGTCCAAAACTTCTTTTCAGCAGTGTGTAAACAACCTTGAAAAAGAATTGAATGCCAAAAAAGTAATAATTTTGGGCATGGAAAAGCAAAATTCTGAACTTCAAGATAGGCACGCAATATTAGAAACCCAAATTGAGAATGTAGAAAAAGAAAAATTGGAATTGGAGGATAAACTAAAAGAAATATCTAACACGAAAAGTGAGGTGGAGAGGGAATTAGCATTTACGCAAAAGAAACTGTTGGAAAAAGAGAGTTTGTTCAATGATTTGTTACAGGAAGGAAAAGATTTGGAAGAACAATTTAAAAAAGAAAAGGAATTGAAAAAAGAAATGCAGAAACAACTTACTGCATTAATGGAAAGTAAATCGAATTGTGAGGAGCAACTTAATATAGAGATTGAGCAACGAGAAAATATTACTTCAAAATTAAATGAAGTTACTTGTAGATGCACACAACAGGAAATAACTATAAAAGAACTTGAAAATAATAAAGCATCAATTGAAGACCAACTACAAGTTTTGGAAAATTATCGGTCAATGGAAGAAGTTGTGAAAATTTTGAAAATCCAGCATAATGAAGAAGTAATTTGTAGAGAGAATATGAAGAAGGAGTTAATGAGCAAGGAGGAAGAATTGGTACAATGCAAGAGGCAAATTCAGGAACTAAACAATTTAATAGATTCTTTAGAATTTGATAATCGTGTCCGTGACACACAGTACAATTCTCAGCTTCAGAATTTAGAAGAGGAGAGAATGAAGCTTGTGGAAACCTCAAAAGCACAGTCTAAGCTTGAATCTAAACTAAAAGATGAAGTACAATGCCTTCAAGAACAATTGTCTAAACAAGAAGAACAATTGAAGAAGGTTAAAGAGCAACTTCAAATTTCAATTAATGTAACCATAAAGGATAATGTCATTAAGCAAGAATTGCTATCTCAGATTCAGTCTTTAGAGGATGAGAAAAAGGAATATGAATTGAGACTTAAAAAAGTAACTGATGAGAGAAAGCAGTTGCAATTTAGACTTAGTGATCTTGATAAACGCGCTGCTCAACAAGATGAAAGAGCAAAAGAATGTGAAGAAGCCCAAGTAGATTTGGCAGAAATGTTGCAATTCAGGGAAAGTAAAATATCCTGGGATGGTAATAAATATGTAAAGGAAATAGAGTTGAAAGAGATCAGTGATTCAAGAAAATCGCCGCCAATGCAGTCGAAGTACACCAGACATAATTTCCCCCTTCACAATAATAAAAAACAGCTTATTGATGAAATTGAAGCCAAAACCGACCTGGAAAACAAGTTGTTGATAATGCAGAATGAATTGACTGCTGCTAAGAATTCAGAGCAAGAGTTACATCAAGAAAAGGAAAAGATTAATAAAGAAAATATTTTTCTTAGAGAGTGTGTTAAAGATTTAGATACAAAATTTGAAAATCAATGCATAGAAAATATCTCTCTTCGATCAACTCTCAAGACTCTGTTCCGGATTTTTCGTGGTGTAGTCCGAGAACAAGAAAGTCCTGTCGAGAAGCTCAACAGTATCATATGTCATCTACGTACACATGGTATTTCAGTACCTTCAGAATCTACTTTTGAGAAAGAAAAACTGGAATCAAAAATTGCAGAGTTGGAAAAAACCGTAGAGTCCTTACATGAAACTCTAAGAAGAGAAGGCTATCATTACAGTTCACCTCACTGGATTCGGATGGGTGAGTGGGCAATTTCGAATAGAAAGATGAAACAACTAGAAAAAAAGAATCAAGAATTGCAGGAGGAAGTGGAGAAGTTGAAAAGCAACAAAGGAAGTCCTGCTTCAGATCAGGGTTTGCTGGATGATACTCTGTTTGGAAAATGTTTGAAGTCTCCAAAGTCCCCAGGTACAGTACCTATTTTATTTATTGTTACAAAGTCAATGGGAGTGGAATAACTAATAAAGACGTGTTTGGATACATATGAATTTATTCCATTATGGTATAAACATAATTTGCAGGTTTTCAAGACAAAGTAATAGATAAAGCAAAAACGTAAATGTCATGACTCAAAGTAGGTGCAAATGCATAAATGTTTCATTAATTTGGTCTGGAATCTATCATGAATCTATCAGCATTTCATTAGCTAATGGTTTTTAAACAAACGGTGGCAAGGAACCAACTGTTACTTTGTAAATATGTCGTGGGAGGAAACATCAAAACTTGGAAAATAAGCTCTTAAGACAATTTGAAGCATATTTTGTCTATTAAACTCCTTTGATATTTCGAATGTTTGAGACACATTAAGCACTAGAAGTTTGTTTGAAAAAAGTCTTTCTATGCCAAATTTGCATGTCAAAAACATATAAACACTAAAGTCACCCAAATGCCTTCTAGCTAAACTGGATATTTAATTTGGCAAACATCCTCCTTGTCTATTCCTGTATCAGTTCTTCAACCCTTTCCTGCCCACATTTCACAGTTGCATATCCTGAAGAAGTACCCTATTTTTACCCATAGTACTTTGATTTCTTTTAATGAAATTTCTACTGGTTGGAGAATATCCGTGGTTAAGAGTAAAGAGAAAGATGAAAGATTGGTATAAGCGAGAATTTAAAGGTTTTTGTGCCCTGGAGATTTAGTGGCAATCAATAATATGCAAACTTATTCTTGAGCAGATTTTCTTTATATATATTTTGATTATTTATAACCAAATCTGCTTAGGAATAAGTTTGCGTATTGTATAAATTTGTACACCTACAATTATACTTTTACTAATGGAGCATCACTTACTCTGATTTATTAGTGCATAATTTTGTAATATTTATATTTATATGATTTTTATATGTTGTAATTTATATGATCATGCATTTTATTTTACAATGAATAATTATTATTAGAAATCCATTAATAAACACTAAATGCTCCAACGGGAAGGAAACTTTAATTAATAGGCAGGTGGCTGAGTGTTTACAGGTGCTATGCGTGTGAAGGAAGAGTTCCTAGTTGGTCATTAGGGTCGGAAAGGGTTAACATATTTTATACCCTAGTCGCAAGTGTTGAAAATATTTTTTATTACATTAATTATGTCAGCACTCAGTATAGCTCTTCAGTTGCATCCTAGGAAAGCCAAGTAGTAACATCCTCAATATTGCATTCTTTGCAGCCAGATTTTTTCTACACATCCACAAATTCTTCAGCTGGTATATTTTAGCTGAAGTTTGCATCTGAAACAGTCTGATCATTATTTTCTATACAAGTTTCTTCCAAACATGGTTGAGGCCAAAGTTTGCACCATTCCACAAGCCAAAAACCAAACTCAATTTATATAAGAAAAACAAAGTCTGGTTAATCTATGTTTTATTGTAGCTAGGTCGAATTCAGTTGCTGTTTGGAGAATAATTCTAAGATGAGTCTGTCTGGAGAATAATATTCTAATCTTGATCGGTAGTTTTCCTTGGTCTCTTCGATCAACACCAGGCGAATGCCAGAGCAGTACACTAATAAACTGTCCATGAACCACGAACCATCTTTTCTTCCTCTTCTTTGTCCTATTCTCTCCCCATACTTGCACACACTTACATGTATGCCCTTTACTACCCACATGTTGAGAGCTTAGAGCTTGTCCCAGTTGGGGCAGTGCCCCTGGTGAGGAATACCTGGTTGGGGCAAGCTGGCGTGTAGGTCAATGCTGGATTTCACCATTCAGTGGTGGAAGATTTGTCACCTCCTAAGGAAAATGCATGCATTATTCTTATGAGACTAATGACCTTAGCAGTTGACTTACCTAGAATCATCAATGAATCAATTACGTTTTCTATTGCCAGGATGGCCACTTTCTGGAAAATATGCCAAACACAAAAATCAGGGAATTTCATTGCACTGGGAATGACAGGAGGGGGGGCTTCCAGGAAATTTGTAGAAGATTCATTAGGAGACTGGACAAATTTTGCGAGGGTTATAAAACTATAAATTATTCCTTGAAAACAATAGTTCAGAGTTATTTTTTAAGTTTTTTAAACAGAACAAAAATATTGTTCAATCGTATTTTGTCACATTGAAATCGTAGAGTTGACTAATTAATATCAGGGAAGCTTTAATATTTTCTTTGAGTAGTGTGAATTTACAAATTTTATCAGGAGGGAATATAAAAAATGCAATGGAAATCTGGAAAAAGTGAGGGAAATTTGTTTCGGGAAAAAAAGTGGCCACTGATTGCAGATACGCCCAGGTTAAGATAATAGCCCCTTCTTCACACTTTTTCTAAGCTTAACCTTTGGTAGTTTGTTCTTTTCCCTCTTCTGTTGAATGGGATTTGATTTTAATATTAGGGTATGACTTAACTTGTTAGGTGGGGGGGTAATAATATGGAAAATATAAATGTAGTTTGAGATCATTATACTGGTTTATTAGATGGACTTGTGTAATTTTAATATTAATTTTTGAGATCTAAAATAATTTTCAATGAAAACAGTAGGTATCCATTGGTTTTAGAGATGCTGACTAGTGATAACCTAAAATAGTTGATCCAGAATTATACCGAGAGACTGGCCGAGGAAGTAGTGGCAGGAGGGGGGGAACAACTACTATATTATGTTGTGGTTTTGTGACAATAGTTGTTTATTTAATTTTAGTGTGCATGAAGTGTGAAGAATTGAAAAAACAAGTTGCCCTTCTTAAGGAAGAATCTGCAATGAAGAGTATGCGAATTACTAGTTTGACTTATGATTTGAAATGTGGCAATTTAGAATTCTTCAAAAACAAAGCTGAAGACTTGGATCAAAAATCGAATGTGTTAATTCGAGAGGCAAGTTTCTTTAACATTTTTTGTCATTGGTATTGTTTTTCTTTACGTGCATGCAAATGAACTTAATTCTACATCGTAAAATAAATGATTTTTTTTTAGAACAAGAGACTTCGGCATGACCTTGAAGCTTTTGAAGCAGAGGCAAAGAGAAGAGCCATGAAAAGGAATCAAGAGTCTCAGACTGAGCCATCTAGTGTTCCTTGGGATAGACTACGTGCTCAAGGGACAGGAAGCAAAATAGCAGAAGTGAGTAGAAATTTATTAAAATAAAAGTATCTGACATGGTCTGGCCAAAGCCACATTTCTTGTCTTAAGGGTCTAATTTACCCTAGGATCTAAAAATTTGCCAGTTTGTTGTATTTGTTGAAGGTTTTGGTTATGAATAGCTCTTCTGCAAGAATTAAAATTAAAAATGAATGTTACAGGATCATGTTATTGATAAGCTAAATGAGACTATTAAACGGCTCACTAGTGATAAAGAACAGCTAAAGAAAGTAGCACGTGAACTAAAGAGACGAAATCAAGAATTGGAAGTTGAAAAACAGAGTACATCAACAACTGTACGAGTTTCTCGCCGAGCTTCATCACCAGGTATGCTGTTTATTGCTGTTGTTTTATTTTTATTAAGATTATTCCACTCTTGAAATGTGCAATGGAGTGTGAAAATCCAACCTTGCATGTCTAATCTAATCAGAGGCATTTTGCCTGTGCAATTTTTTAATTTAGTTACAGACAACTGCACAATTACCACTCATTACAATATGCAGTAAATATTCACTTACATGTTTTTTAGAAAATCACATAAATTTAGTATTATGGGCAAAACAAGATCTCAATATTTTTACATTGGCACACTCCACTCTTGGACGTGCTCACGGGAACTGCTACCAATGTTGCTCTTGATTTAATAATAATAATAATAATAATAATAATAATAATAATAATAATAATAATTTTCAAAAGAATTACATTGACAGTGTACAAAAACCATCACCATAAAAACAATAAGAAAGATTACCAATTTTGTTAGATTACATTACATACATGACATCCTGTTTAACCTTTCAGTAAAAATACTGATCTTATCAGATTTAAATTTAAATATATTTATTAAATTTATTTTATCTTATTCAGTACACCTCAAACCCTACTTTATGTACTTGTCAGAGAAGGGGGTGTTACATTGTACGCTTGCTTTGTTGTGTTTTTTGTTTTTTCTTTTCCGTATTACTGTTGTTAATTGCAGTTCACCCATCATCTGTACTGTTTGCTAGTTACTGTATGATGCGTGAATTGTTTCTATTGAAATTTAGATTTTTTTCCAAGGTAACTCAACAGGCAAAAGAGATCAAAATAATCAAATTATCTAAAATAACAAATAAATTGTTAATAAATAAAAAGAGATGTCAGTTGGCAACAGGCAAAAATGAGTATTAACTTATACTTAATTAGCATGTTGAAGACTTGTAGTGACAAATCAAATCAACAAATAATAGGACACACAAACAAAGCTTAGTCTATACAGTGACCAATTAACAATTGACATAATTACTAGTCGACAAATTACAATCAAAATATTATCTAAAATATAAAACAAAAATCAAATAGAATAACCAAATAAAAAACAAACAATAAAACTGAATGAGAGTAACAAGAACATATACATTTTTTCAAATTATCTTGTGATGACAGCAGTTTACAGTATGAAGATTTAGTTGTACATAATTAACAACATAAAATCTTGTAATGACGAAACTCAACAATCAAAAAGAAATCACAATCATCCAGTTATTATCTAAACTAACAAATGGATTATAAAAAAAATGAAATAGAATAACCAAATTAAAACCAAATAACTGAATGAGTGTAAAGGGAACATTATATATTTCTTACAAATTAGAATCTTGTGATGACGGTAGTTTACAGTATCAGTGCAACAAAAATACAACAGTGCAACAAAATCTGTATAAAAACAATCTGTATAAATACAATGGCTGTATAAAAAGGCACTTCCAGCACATGACCACAGAAACAAAAATTAGACCAACACTACTGTCAGTAAAATATGGGTTTTGAAAAAAGATAGATGAATTGAAGCAGCCCAAATGAGATATCAAGGTCCAATATTAAGTGTCAAGGAAAAACATTTAAAGAGGATGAAACCAACCAGACTACTAAAACAGGTGCTAAAGTATAGACAGGTGAAAGAGAGGGGCCGACCAAGAAGAGATGGGAAGACCAGGAGCACTGTTGGTGACTAGGGGACTACTTGAAGAATAGGAAAAGACCATTGGTCTACATTTAAACATTTCACGAAAAAATGTGGAATAATTTAAATAAATACCATTCTTGTATAAATCCTCCTGTCGTTACATGACTTGCGGTTATCGATAATTTCCCATGCATGTGGGATTACCTATAAGAAAAGTTTTTGATAATTCTCTCTTTTTGGGGCTGGGGAAGTGCCTTAGGTCATCAATTGATGTCACTTCAGAAATTCTCACTGGGAGGTCCTAGATTCGAGTTCGGACGTTGGCAAGATTTTCGACACTAGCTACATAGCTAGGTCGCTTTCACGGGCACGCTTTAGTCACTGTTCGAAGAAAGATTCTAGCGGCTGGCTGCTCCGATCGTCTCTTCTCCTCTCTCTCTTCTCTCTCTCCTCTCTCTTCTCACTTCTCTTCTCTCCTCTCTCTCGTCCTTCTCACTCTTCTCTCACTCTCCTCTCTCTCTCTCTCTTCTCCTCTCCGTCTCACTCTCCTCTCTCTTCCTCTCTCCTTCTCCTCTCTCTTCTCTCTCCTCTCAACTCTCCTCTCTCTCTCCTCCTCTCTCTCTCTCCTCTGCCTCTCTCTCTCCTCTCTCTCTCTCTCTCCTCTCTCTCTCCTCTCCTCTCCTCTCTCTCCTCTCTCTCTCCTTCTCTCTCCTCTCTCTCTCCTCTCTCTCTCCTCTCTCTCTCCTCTCTCTCTTCTCTCCTCTCTCTCCTCTCTCTCTCTCTCCTCTCTTCTCTCTCCTCTCCTCTCTCTCTCTCTCGTTCTCTCTCTCTCGCTCCTCTCTCTCTCTTCTCTCTCTTACCTCTACTCTCTACTCTACTCTCTTCTCTCTCTCTATCTCCTTCCTCTCGTCTCTCTCTCTCTCTCCCTCTCCTTCTCTACTCTCTCGTCTCTCTCTCTCCTCCTCTCATCTCTTCCTCTCTCTCTTCCTCTCTCTTCCTCTCTCTCAATCTCTACCTCTCCTCTCCATCTCTCTCTCTACTTCTCTCTCTCTCCCTCTCTCTCTCTACTCTCTCTCTCTCTCTCTCTCTCTCGTTCTCTCTCCTCTCTTCTCCATCTCTTCACCTCTCTCCTCCTGCTCTCCTCATTCTTCCTCGTCTAATCTCCTCTCTCTCTCTCTCTCTCTCTCTCGTCTCTCTCCATCTTTCTCTCTCTCTCTCTCTCATCCTCTCTCTCCTCTCTCTCTCCTCTCTTCTCTCTTCTCTCGTCTCCTCTCTCTCTTTCATCAACCACCGGCGAATTGCCATAACATTCGTCCCAGGCCGCTGGCGACCAGGGACAATTCTACGCAGACGGGGCCCGCTGACGGGAGAAAACTGGTTGGGAAAAACTCGCAAATTTACGCGTAGGTCGGCGTCGGCCCAGCGGGGGGAAGATCGCAGCCACCTTCGGAAGGAAAACATGCACTATACGTACGGGACATATGACCTTTGCCGTTGACATGCCTGGTATCACTAACAATCTCGTTTTCAGAAACGAAACTTACAAAGTTAGTTGTCGTTCCCTACCATTGAATTATTTAGAGGAATTAAACTTTTTCCTTGGAAAATTTTCCTTCATATTGTGGTTGGATTTTTATACAAAGCAAAATTTTGGCCATTTTTAGTTGCTGTTACTCCCAGAAGAGGAGCTGCTTTGCAGAGATTAGTGAGAGATGCAAACGAGATAATAGCAGTACAGCGACAATCTCTACATTGTACTCACAACCAACGCAATAAAGAAAATCCTTGCCCCCAACCAGAACGGAAATAAAATAATACTGGTGCATATTCTGTGTACAGCAGGTGCGAGGTATTAAAAGTAAGTATACCCGGTTTAATGATTTTTGGAACTTGTTTAAATACTTGAGTACTTACTATTTGTCTGGTAATTGTTATTTTATTGGCATGCAACTCAAAGATTGCTTTAAAAATGCCTTTAATTTATTTCAAATACGATTAGTTCTTTAATAATATTCTATCAAATAAGATTAGTACCTTTGTGTATTGTACATTTAATAATTTTTAAATATTAAACTGAATTTAATAAATCTCTCTCCTGAAACTCCTGAACTCCTGAAACAGCTGAAAGTACCTTATGTAATTGATGTGCAATGGCACAAATTTCATCTTAAATCTAAGTTTCAAAAACGTTAATGAATTTTGAAAACTTCTTACTTAAAACTTGGTATCAAAGTGTAAGTCGGCCTGGATGGCTGGTTACAAAGGATCGCGGGTTCGAATCCCGCCTCGGGCATGGTTGTATTTGTGTTCGTCCTTTCATCACCATAACATGTCCTCTTCATAGTTACCATACCGTTAAATGCAATAGTGGTCGCTAATGACTTAATGTTGATGCGGCCTTAAATTTAAAAAAACTGCATTTAGAAGTGAGGGTGGTGTCAAGAAATCAACTTCCAAAGTTTCTTGGACTGGAGCTCCTGAACGGTTGACATCTGGTGTAGGATGGAGATTCGCGTTCAGTTTCAGTTCACTCGGGTAATGTTACGATCTCCCTCATGCGTCTTGAAATTTATAGAAAATTGTTTTGCATTGTAATAAGGATGTTATGGCTCTCTTCTCGTGGAATCTAAATGGCTTTTCCACTCGTATAGACGAATTAAAGATATCTCTGCGTAGACCTGTTGTTACCTGCTTGCAGGAAACACATCTTCCTGAGCACTCCGTCTCTCTTCGTGGCTTCTGCTGTTATAGGCAAGACATTGATGATGGCCTACAGGCACATGGCGGAGTTTTTATACTAGTGCATTCAAGTTTTAAGGCCTCCTATTTTTTTCTAACTAATCACCTAAAAAACTATGAAACTGGCGTTACTTCTCGACATGATCGCCCTGCAGACGTACACATTTCAACAACGTCTACGCAATGATTCCATGGCAGCGGCAAAGGCTTCTTTCTTTAAGAGTGTTTTGACCACTGGAAAATCGCTGAAGCAATAGCAGCGCGGCTGGTGAATGGGCTGCCACGGAGAGTGTCTTTCATTGTTGAAAAAAGCCAAACGTCACTTGGAGCCAGGTCAGGTGAGTAGGGAGCATGAGGAATCACTTCAAAGTCGTTTTCACGAAGAAACAGTTGCGTAACGTTCGCTCGATGTGCGGGTGCGTTGTCTTGATGAAAGAGCACACGCGCAGCCCTTCTCGGACGGTTTTGTTGCAGAGCAGGATGGAACTTGTTCTTCAAAACATTTTCGTAGGATGCACCTGCTACCGTAGTGCCTTTTGGAACGCAATGGGTAAGGATTACGCCCTCGCTGTCCCAGAACGTGGCCACCATCATTTTTTCAGCACTGGCGGTTACCCGAAATTCTTTTGGTGGCGGTGAATATGTGCTTCCATTGAGCTAACTGGCGCTTTGTTTCTGGATTGAAAAACGGCATCCAAGTCTCATCCATTGTCACAATCGACGGAAAGAAAGTTCCATTTGTGCTGTCGTTGCGCGTCAACATTGCTTGGCAACGTGCCACACGGGCAGCCTTGTGGTTGTCCGTCAGCTTTCGTGGCACCCACCTAGGTGACACTTTTCGCATTTTCAGGTCGTCATGCAGGATCGTGTGCACGAACCCACGGAAATGCTAACACTGGAGGCGATCTGTTGAACAGTCATTCGGCGAGCCCCCAAAACAACTTCCAACAACATTCTCTCCACTTCCTCGATCATTTCGTCAGACTGACTTGTGCGAGTTCGAGGTTGTTTTGGTTTGTTGTCACACGATGTTCTGCCTTCATTAAACTGTCGCACCCACGAACGCTCTTTCGACATCCATTACTCAATCTCCACATGTCGATGAATTTCAATTGGTGTCACTCCAAGCAAATTCAGAAAACTAATGATTACATTCAAGTAAGGTAAACGTCGCCATTTCAAGTATGTAAAATCGTTCTCATTCTTGCTGCTGGCGCTACAATTCCAACTGTCGTATAGTGCTGCCATCTGTGACGTATTGACAAAACGCGCGCTCATTTTAAAATAATTCACATGTTTCTTTCATTCCATTCTGGAGAAAAAAAATCGGAGGCCTTAGAACTTAAATGCACTTCGTATTTGTTACAGACTCCCTGGCTTGTATAAGACTACCATCCGTCCTATTATAGATTATGGGTGTATTGTGTCAACGTCTCTCTCTCTGGTCATAGAATACCATTCACAATGCCGGTATACGGATCAGCACAGGCGCCTACCGCACGAGTCGCATTGACTGCCTCTTGGCCGAGGCTGGTGAACCATCCCTGAGCCGAAGGCGAGATATTGTAATCGACTCCTATGGTGCGAAAGTATGTCTTAAATACTCCTTCGCGCCAAGCAGTTCTTCTCCCAAGTCACAGGACATCGTACGAACTCAGACCATCGTTACCCCATCCTTCAGATAAGTCTCTACACGCTCTTGCATAAACTCGATACAAAACACCCCGTCCCTGTGAACCGCCACCCCGAAATCTTGTTCCCTCCTGGAAGCTTCTCCGGCGTAAAATAGACCTGAGATTCACTTCATCAAATTCTCGACTTCCCCCAGTACATTTCTGACGGAATTCCAGGAGACGAAATTCATGTATCCCGGCTATAACTTCATATACCTGATGGCTCCTCCCAGAATGGTAATGTAAGGTGTGTCTTCTACTGCCATAGTGCCACGCAGTTTTCGACTAGACACTTCTTGCAGCGCTTATACTGCATAAGAATATGCGCTCGTGGAGGCACTTACGTTCGCTGAATCGATGACATTAAAAGAAGCTGTGATCTGCAGTGATTTAAAAATCTCGCTCGATTCTATTTCCTGCTTCTCTTCTCGTGACCCGCTGAGAACAATCACCCACGCCGTATTTGCGAGATGGATCGTACCGTGGAGCATGTTCTCCTCTGCCGTTCTAATGTAAGAGGTAGCCGCCTAATGCTTCACCTTGCTACTTCTCTAGCACATTTACTTGGAAATGACGAGTCTTCTCTCTGCAAGCTTTTTTGCTTCTTACGAGGGTCTGACATTTACAGCATTATCTGAGAGAAAAGGATCATGCCAGTTATTTGGCTTGTATTTGGATATTAAAGTGTTTATCTGGCTCTTTTCTGCCAACCCTTTTAAATAATTTAACACGTTTATTTCCAGTTTTACTTACATTTTACCTTGCATAAAAATGTTTGGCACTGCTACAGTGCGTATTGCTCTTAAAAAAATGTCACGGGCGCCGATGACCCTAGCTGTTGACGCGCCCGTAAACTATAATCATCCGACGTCCAGTCTTATTCTCTCGTGACCTTTTTGGGGGGATGAGTAGGCTTATGCCGTATCCATTTTTACACCGCAGGGTTGTTAGCCCTGAGGGGGTTGAGGTATATGATAGACGAAGGGACAATTAAACATACACAACACGCCTGAGGCGGGACGCGAATCCGTAATATTTCCATCCGAGATTGCCACGGCACTACTGTCTTAGCGATCTCGGATATCCTGCTCTGATTTATGTGTATATATATTGGTAAGCTTTGTCAGATTTTCATTCCTTGGGTAAGTAAGGATGGTAAATTCACGTTAATTAATAATTATTGATGAAATATAGGAAATATCATCAGGAACTTATGGGAATGTCAGGAAGAGCTCAATGAGTGTTCGGAAATTAAAATGGTCAGGTTTGCTGGCCACGTTGAGGGGAAGAGGCACTAGGAAACTAATGATTTTGTTTGTTTAAGCAGGTCCTGAAACTGGTGCAATGCTGTTGCTTCCAACCATCAATAGAAGTTCGATACGTGAATAGATCGGGATGTATTGTTATATCATTTCATTATTGAATATTTATAGATTTGAATTAGTGTAGATAAATTCAAATTTTGTAAATGATGTACATAATTGTAAATATTTTTTATAAATGTGCAAATAAACAGCCTTTATATAAGCGTATTTTGTCTGAATATGTACTAAATGGCAACATGAATTTAAAATGTATATACCAGGGATTTCCAACAGGGTCGATGATTCCCACCCTCCCGATCGATGACCTGTTAAAGCGGTCGATATAAAAAATGCACCGCCGACAGGTACAGTAAAAACTGTCTAAACCGGAACCTGTACAAACCAGAAACCTGCCTTAACCGGAAGATGTATCTGGCTCGTGAAGTTAATGTGGTATTTTGTACAGCATAAAACGGAACCTGTCCAACGTGTTAACGGAACGATTTTTGTCCTACATGGGAAAATCTTTATAAAACGGAATTCCTGTGAATGTAATGCAATATGGCAAGCGCCAGATATTCGTAATGCAATGAATGAATCTATTTTAAATTCTCTATCCCACGCGATTTAGTCGTAACAACCACACTGATGAAAAGGGCTTCCGCTGTCACTCTCAAGGCGTAGGCCGTAGGTGAATCCCCCCCCTTCCCCCCAGCTTTTTGAGCGTAAATTGAAACTCGTAACTTCTCGGCTAGAGACGCATTGTTCAACGCTATGCGATGGTATCAGAAAATCATTGTACTATTGAGTTGTGAAGAGTTGTACGTTGAAAAAGTCAGCAAGCAGATTGCAGCCATTAAGTACTGAGGTAGTGTGTATTTTTAAGAGTAAAACTATGCGAAACCATAAAACGCATTTAGATGAAAAGGTTAAACTTATGGAAGCAAGAGAAACCCAGAAGAGTCAGTGAAGAATATTTAATATTCATTTATTGGTGATTCTTCCTAAAAACGTTATATGTAAATCTATTTAATAATCATTAAAATTAGTGAAAGAAGCTTTTCTAAATTAAAGATTATAGAATCTTATTTACGATCTACCATGAGTCAATCAAGACTATCTGATTTGGCTCTATTGTCAATAGAAAATGATATAGCAAAAAGCATAGAGTTTATTGAAATTATAAATAAGTTTGCTGCCCTTAAATCTCGTAAAGGGTCTTTATAAATAACTTACATTTATTAATTAGTTATGTTATTCTAGAATGTTTATTTAAAATCTATATTACAATTGTTCTGAATTTTAATGGATTTTTTCAATATATTACAATATGCAATAAAATGACGTGCAAATATGCTTGTATTTTCAATAAATACAAACAATTTATAAATTATATAAGACCAATTTATCTTAAGGATTTTAACTAGTGTTAGTGACATGCATTTGTTTTTTCCTTCAACACTCCATTTTATAAACTAATTGTAATATGTAAAAATGGAAATTTATTATTGTTTATTGTAATAAATAGAATTTAAAAATGTATAATCTATGCGTCCATAGATATTTTTACACTTAATCCATGGGGGGGGGGTGATACCATTAGCTTTGACCCAGGTGACACCAACTGAAGCTACGCCACTGACACAGCTTTCAATTGTTTTCAATATTTCTTGCCCTTAAAGTAAAAAGATGCCATATAACATTTTTTTTCAAAAATGACTTTGTGATGTTTGTAATGGTAGCGATAAGCTTTACATAACCTATAATTTACACTGATTTACGACGCTTAGTTTCTGAGATACATACAAGGTAAAATGGTAGTATCAGCAAAAGCCCAGTTCGTGAAAAAAGGTACTATCTGCTTCACCGCGCAAACCAATCTGTTTACATGTATGTGGACACTATCTTGATGGCTATCCTGTTTGCACGATTCCCGCGCAAAGTGTCCAGGAATTATAAGATCTTCTGAGAAGCAGATTTAATTGTAATGTTAAGTGAAATTGAAGATGCTGTTTTTAAGCTGAATACGACCCTAGTGCGGTAAGCAGTACTGAAGAAGACGACACACATAGGAGACGTGTTAAGGCCAAACATAATGCTGTAAGAAGGTAAACGTTTTTTTATAAATATCGAACGATTTATTCTTTATCAGGTCTAATTAGCAACCAGCCCGAAATTATAATAGTTCTTCGAAATTAGGTATTTGGGAATTCCTTTCGATTTCTCAATGCCTCGCTTACTACGAAATTGTTGGTTACGCGACATCAACTACTTGCACTCCGCTTCACATGTTGATATAATCTTATAAAGTTGGTTGCCTATAAATCTTATTTACAACCCTGCGTATTACGATTTTACTTCTATTCGGTTAATAAATGTGTTGTTAACTCTTCGTTGGGCGCGCAAGGATCTAGTAGACCCAAACCATTTTAAGAACTGAGTACCTCGCAGTGTTGCGAGTGTACGTTTTCGCTGTCTGGTGACAATCTGTGTTGAACAATTTTTCATCCGGAGGCAAGGTTACAAACAGGTAAGATAGAGGGCGATAGATTAGATTGGTCGTTTTTCCTTGCCGACACATGCAATTCTTAGAAAGATAGCTTTGTGTGCTTCACTAGCACTTACGCATTCATGAGTTTGAATGCGTTCGAATAATTAGTATTCTCCTTACTAAACTGTTAATAAGTAAACTTTTGGATCTGTAAATGGCTGATGATCTAGGTAAGCTCCGAGAACTTCTTTTAAAATATGTTTTGTTGGCAATTGCCGGCCAAATTACTTCAAATTTGGCGCCTTTTCTAATAGCGTTTGATGTTCTTTGAAGGTGTTTCAAGAGGAAAGGATTATACATTTTAAACTTGGCGCCTCCGAGATCCCCAAAGAGCCGCACGAATTTCTTCTCTGCTGATCATTCATTTCTTCGTGCAAAGTTCTTGAAGTCGATTGTCAACTCCTTTCTATTAGTTCGGAGCGTCACCGAAAGATCGCACCAGCTCCTGGACAAATCCCGCGTAAACTTGGCCTTGTCGAAATGCTGGGAATTTTCTATCGCAGACTCGCTGCTCGCATTGTCACCACAAGCTAATGCGGAAAGCTGAGTAAAAGCGTTCGGAACGTCTTCAAGGTTCGATCCAGAGTGTGCCAGGCACTGGATGTAGTAGAAACACGAAGCAAAAGGGCACGGAATTCGTAAGAAAAGGGTTAATTTTGTTTGGACAGAGGTAACTGTGACAACTTCAATACTCGTTAATTCTTTCTTCAAGTAACAATCTTTGTCAATTGTATGTCGTCTCTTTTCCAGAACACTCTTGTCTGACAAAAACTACTGAGATAGAAAGGCGATGTTCCGTTGCAGTTTCCATCAAAATGCTCTCCCAACTTTTCTTAGACTATTTCGCCGCCTGAACATGTTTGAAATTAATATTTTGAAGAAAATTCTATGAGTTTAGGTGTGCACCATGAAGTAGGAAAAGAGGATTTAGAACAATATCATAACATGGAGGACACTTTTCACACGTACTAAAAAACTATACAAACATGATTAACATAATGCCGATGGTGATTTTCTCATCTTCAAAATATTGCTGCAACAAATGAGAGTAATTTATTTAGGAAATAGCTGAAATGTATTTAGCATCGACCGGAGTACCTACACGAATAATTTTACTCAAAACTTCATACTCCAGCAATTGCAAATATCGAATAATGTCACTTGCCTTCCAGGAGAAATTCAATAAATGCTGAAAGGAGTAACATTCCTTCTGAAGCACAAAGTACAAAAAGAGTTAAGTCTCTTTACAAAAAATCGCACAAAATATGTTTACGAGAATTGTACTTTCTTAAATTTACGCAAACGTGCAAAACATTATTTATAAACGCCTTAATATAAACAACGCTACTATTTTAATGAATAAAGCAGGAACATAATTATGATTTTTTGTTTAGGATTGAATTGGGGATATTCTGTTTTCTTGTTTACATGAAAATGTATTTCCTCGTTTAGTTAACTAAATCATCTTTAAAATAGGGAATGTATACTGAAATTCGTGTCATTAAATTCCCTTTTAATACTTTCTCAGATAAAATATTCTTTCTTTAATAGTTCCTTAGAATGTTCAAAAAGCAACAAATACAGCAAGGAGCTATCAGTCCCATAGCGACTGAAGGCGTTCATTCAAATTACAGACCTCACGAAGAACACAGTGCGACAATGAAATTTGCCGCAGAACAAAAATACGTGATCGTAACGTAATTCAGTGTCCTGATGAAAATCGTCAAAACCATTTTTCGGTATCACCTAAACTTTCTTCTGGATACGCATTTTATCTGCGCTCGGCTGCGTTATTTTTGTCGTTTTGTCACAGTGTGTCATGTTTAGGAATATTATTGCCTAGTGTTGGGAGTAGAGATGGAAGGAGATAGCAGGGAGATAGGCACTTGGGGTAGGTAAAGTGGCACTTATGTCAGTCAATCGATAGTGAGATCACACAGTATTTATTCTTGAAGTGTAAATCCGCTAACGTGAATAATATTGTATGTGTATGTTCCTGTGTGTCCCAACGATGTCTAGAAGTCAACTCATTTCTGTTATGTATGTGGCGAGTTTACGACTAAGTCTTAAAGACATCTCATTTCTCCGATCGTCAAAATGGTAAACGAGTTGCATTTTGTTCTATGGTGGCTGTTGGTCACCATAGAACTGTTGCTCACGTTTAAGAGGCTGGTTGCGTAGAATCCACCATTCTATGGCATTTGCCGTACAACAGTTGTGGAGGAAACCTAGAGACCACATTACAGATTACTACTTTTGTTTAACGAAAGTAATAGGAATGGCACGTAAATCAAAACGCACAGTTTCGTATCCAAATTTGGAATCTGCAGTGCGCCCAGTCCTATATTCAGGTCCTATCCCAGTGATTGGACAATGAAAGACGAAACAGACAATGCTAGAGACAAACCAACAGATCACGAAGATAATGCAGCTCTTAGTTACTCATCATCTGCCGCACGGCTACAATCTGTTATACATACATACATATATATGTCGGTCGTAGGCAGAACTGAACGATCTTGTAAAACATCTAAATCTTTCGAAGAGACAAGCAGAATTACTAGGATCTCGTCTTGAAGAAAATTATCTGTTACAACCAAACACTAGTATTACATTTCGAAAGAGATAGCTTCATCTTGCCTCTTTTATCAATGAGAGTTTGGAATAATGTAATGGCATAATGAGCTGCTTACAAAATGTGGGATGATTCACAATCGGGAAGAATGACGCCTATTTATAGATTTCTCAGTGCCATTCATTCTCTTGCATAACTGAAACGTGAGGCCTTCAATACCAGCGGCCCTTTCCAATCAGCTAAAGAAAACCTACGAGAACGTCAAGCTACTTCTAAAATATAGTGGCTTTTCGAATAAAAAATGAAAAA